AACATGGTGAAACCCCGTCTCTACTAAAAAAATATAAAAATTAGCTGGGCGTGGTGGCACGCGCCTGTAGTCCCAGCTCCTCGGGAGGCTGAGGCAGAAAAATTGCTTGAACCCAGGAGGCGGAGATTGCAGTGAGCCGAGACTGCACCACTGCACTCTAGCCTGGTGCCTGGCAATGGAGCAAGACTCTGTCTCAAAAAAAAAAAAAAAACATCAACTAATGGTCAAAACAGCCAGCTAACATTAAATGGCAGTATCAAACTCACATATATTATTATTAATTCTAAATGTAAATCGACTAAATCCCCCAATCATCCAAAGACACAGACAGGCAAAAAAAGCCAAGACCCATTGGTATGCTTCATCCAGACCCATTTCACATGCAAGGATACACAAAGACTCAAAACAAAGGGATGGAGAAAGATTTACCAACCTAATGGAGAGCAAAAATAAATAAATAAATAGAAAGCAGGAGTTGCAATTTTTGCTGATAAAATAGACTTTAAAGCAACAAAGATCAAAAGAGCAAAGAAGGATATTAAATAATGATAAAAGGATCAATGTAACAAGAAGAGCCAAAGATCCTAAATATATATGCACCCAATACAGAAATACCCAGATATATAAGACTTATAAAGAGACTTGGACTCCCACACAATAACAGTGGGAGACTTACAGATCAATGAGACAGAAAGTTAACATCGATATCCAGGACTTGAACTCAGATCTGGAACAAGTAGACTTAATTAACATTTATAGAACTCTCCACTTTAAATACACAAAATATACACTCTTATCAGTACCACATCACACCTATTTACAGGTTTAAATGAAATATTGGTTGGCTGCTTGTTAGTTATTTTCTTCCCTCATTTTTTTTTTCATGTCTCTATTATTAAACACAATTATAGGCATACCCATTTTTAGACTGCATTCTAGCCCGGGCAATAAAGCGACACCCCTGTTCTCTCTCCCTCTTCCTCTTCCTCTTTCTTCCTCTCCTTCATTCTTTTTTTTAATTCTTTCTCTTTCTTTCTTTCTCTCTTTCTTCTTCTAAAAAAAAAAAAAAAAAGAGTAGCTGTGAAAAAACCATTCCCATCCCTTCCCACAGTGCCCACAGTGAGATGCTGCTGGGGTTGTCATTAGCCTACTGTAAGGTACAGGGGGCTCCCAGGGAATAGTGTGAGTCAGACAGATACTTCCTTTGGGAGAGAGGTAGGGAGAAGCTACTGTCTCTTAATCGCTCTTTCCTCCCTGGAGAGGTAGGTAAAGAGCCTGGCTGGAGCTGGGTGTCTTTGGTTAAATAAATGGTTTATGGCACCCAGGAGAGTCTTAAGTAGTTATTTATTGCAAACCTCTTTTCCTGGACAGGAGAATCAAGCTCACAATCAGATGCCGACCTCACAGCTCAAGGCTTCAAAAATACCTTGCCACCCTAGCATTGAAACCCAGGATTCCAAGGCAGAGGAGAAGTCACCAAAGAAGCACAAGGTGCCTCTGACAGCAGCAGGTATGCCTTTGGGGCAGTAGCAGGGTGGGGAGGTGGGGAGGCGGTTATGGAAGGTCAGGGTGTGAAGAGCTAAGCTGCGCTGGAGTGAGCCAAGCTGCCAGGTGCCAGAGTAGTCAATTAAGGCAGCAAGCCAAGAGGAAAGTAGAAGTTAAATGTTGAACCTCTGACTGTGACAGTATAAGCAAGAGGCTGAATAGGAGGCTGAATTTTTCCCCATGGGGTAGCTCTGGGCAAGGATCAGATGTACCAATGCAGACAGAGGGAAGCATCTCATTGCCTAAGAAGCCCAGACAAAAAGCTCCTGTCATTTTAGGGACCCAAGGGCCCGGGGGAAGGCACTGACAGGGTGGAAGAGCTAGAAGTGGAAAAGGACTGAATGCCGAGTCAGACAGAGCAAAGGGTGTTGAAGCTTGCTTCTTCCTCTGGATAAGGAGGTCTTGGAGAGGAGCCTCTATGGGGGGCTCTTGATTAGAAATACAGATTTGTAGAAGAGCATGGCCAGCCAGGGGTCCCAGTCCTTGGCTGTAGCTTCCTCCAGAGACTGCAATGCATTGACTGTGTACCAGCTCTGGTGCAGGAAGGGCAGCTTTGCCTGTGAGGCTTGCCAGGTGAAGCCTTTGTGGATTGCCGGTGGTCAAGCCTGAAAGATTACACATGGGTTTTTGGCCAGGCGCTAGACTCCTAATGGGGTTCAGAGACTCATAACCTATTAGGATGCAAAGGAAGAGAGCATCCACTATGTGCCATCATCAGATGCTTTACAGTCCTTCTACCACGGCTTAGAAACTGAAATTGGTGCTTGTTGTTCTTAAACAACCCCAGGAACTATGCATGAGGAGGTCATTTCAGTCCTGAGCTAGCTCTGCCTTTACAGAGCCATCTGCCCCCTGCTATCTTAGGCCTTGGCTCTGTCTGCTGGGCAAAGAACATGCCTTATTCCGCTTCCACACAACTGCCCTTCACATATATGAAGATGGAATTCTGGTTCCCTGTAAGTCTTTTTCTTTTTCCTTGCAGTTCTCTCTCTAATGCTTTAGCATTAGAGATTTTGTCAAATCATACGGTGCCCTTTGTCCTAATCCTACTTTCTTTTCTCTGAGAATGCTTCCGTTTATCAATTACTGTGAATTTTACCCCTGACCACGCGCCAGAGCGCTGATGTGATCTGGCCGGCGTAAAGAAGTCCTAACTCATAACCTCTCCTCACAATCTCAGGTCCTTCCTGATTCAACTGCAGATTTGAGTGTGAAGCCTCCTGGGCCTTTGATGTTTCCTTTATGTCTGGCCCTGTAGACATTACAGTTTTCAAAGCTTCTCAAGACAGACTAATTATAAATTCCACATTAACTCGGGCAACTTGCCACCTAAACTATATACGATTGTTGACTCTAACTTTACTCCTGGAATTTTCACCCATGCTGCTCTAACCCACAGGTTTTGGAGGACTGAGTTCCCCTTTCCCTCTCTTTGTGTTCTTTTCTTGATTTATTGAATTAAATACAAGACCTTGACATTTATCCTTGACATATTTCCATCTTGTGAGATGCCAGATGCATGGTCCTCAGTGAGCCAACCAGCTGGGGAACAGGCTGATGGCTGGTGACCTGGAAGGGATGCCACCGTCTGCATCCTGGGCAAATCCCATGCTGCCTCAACTTAACTCACAATTGTAGTCTTTTTCACACAGAGGCCCTAAAGCTTTTTAAGAACCAGCTCTCTCCGTATGAGCAAAGTGAAATCCTGGGCTACACGGAGCTATGGTTCCTGGGGCTTGAAGCCAAGAAGCTCAACGTGGCTCCTAAGAAATTCAGCAAGACGAGTTTTGATGATGAGCATGGCTCCTATCTGAAGGTGATGGGGGAGGGGACATGGGAACCTCCAAGGGCCTGGGGACAAGAGGTAGTCTCGAAAGAAAAAAGCAGCAGTATTTTGTAATATTTGGTGCTAATATATTGGAGACTAGATGTCCTGAAGTATTCTAGTAGGTGCCAAACCAAAGAAATACCATGTTTTAAAATGGGGAAACATGCAATTTAGCATGCAAAATACTCTACTCATGGAAGATGATTTTCTCCAAAGAGTACTTGTGTCTACTAAAAATGCAAATATCCTGGGTGAGCTCCTGGGTGCATCCTGGGTGAGCTCCCACACGCTCCTTCCCTGCGTAGCCCACTGGAAGAGGCCAGACGGGAATAAGGTGCAGTTTTCCCAACACCCCCTTTTTTGCCGCCTCAGTACAAGCCCATACATGGACTCTTTTCTATTTTACAGTAGATCCCCACAGACAAAAAAGGTTTTGTCACTGTAGTCCCTGATGCATAGAGCTTAATTTCATTCTGTTTTTCAAAATTTGATCCAACAACTCCACTTCCTCCTCCTGACGGTAGCCCTGGGCTTCCCCAGGACCGTGCCTCTTCCCAGCCTGAAGGCGGAAGCTGAGCAGCGATTCCCAGGGTAGAGCATGGTGGGATATGTGGCGCTTCGTCCACTAGGCTGTGGGCTATCAGGAATTTCCTCTTCAGGACATTTCATCACAACTTGGATTTAAGAGGCAAGATGAGTCTCTTGATGGCTCATAGAAGAGGCAGATTTTATTAACAGCATTTAGGGCCGTGTTTGTCTGGCATTACTTTGAACACAAACCACTTGGAGTATCTTGTTAAAATGCAGATTCTTATCCAGCAGTTCTGGGCTTGAGGCCTGAGCTTCCAGGTGAGGCCTGTGCCGCTGATCCTCAGACCACACTTTGAGAAGCAAGGATTTTGTTTCTGTCACACAGCTGCCTTCTAGAGCCAGGGTTTTCAGTATTTTGGGTCAAGAATCTCTTCGGGAGCCTGATAAAAGCTATAGGTCCTCATCCCAGAAAAGACAACACTTGGTTAGGAATCTCCAATATAAATATATATATACACACACATATATATATGGGGATATATATATTATTATTAATATTTTTTAAAACAGAGTCTCACTCTGTCACCAGTCTGGAGTGCAGTGGCGCAGTCTCGGCTCACTGCAACCTCCACCTCCTGGGTTCAAGCGATTCTCCTGCCTCAGCCTCCAGAGTAGCTGGGATTACAGGCTCCTGCCACTTGCCCAGCTGATATTTGTATTTTTAGTAGAGACACGGTTTCACCGTGTTGGCCAGGCTGGTCTTGAACTCCTGACCTCAGGTGATGCACCCGCCTTGGCCTCCCAAAGTGCTAGGATTATAGGTGTCAGCCACTGTGCCAGCCAGGAATCTCCAGTATAAATTCCAACTCTGATTCATCTAGATCTCTTCAACCCCTCCCTCGCTGCTCCCTTCTCTGCTCCTACCTGAGCCCAGGGTCTCTGGGGAATTCCCTAAGGGTGTCAGTACTACTTTTAAGTTAATTCATTGGAGCTCAGTTCTTCAGTCTCAAATCTTAGAAAAAGTTGGTTTTCGGGGTGGGGGTGTCAGGGGGAAGAGGATAATGTGTGCTCTCTGTAAGCTCAGAATCACCATCCTTATTGCCTTCCAGTATACATGCAAATACATATTGCACATAGCCAAATTCCCAAGCAAGCAGCATAGCTGCATTCTCACTTTATTTTGTCAACCAACGTTAATTGAATGCCTATGTATTGAGTGATAATCTGTCATAAGCTTGGACATCTGCTGGACTCTAGAAATATAAAGGAAGCTATCACAAATTAATACAAAATGGTTTTTGCTTTCAAGTAACCACAATCAATGTCAAAGTTGACATGCGAACAAACAATTACAACACAAAGTGGTAGTATGCAGAAGGCTAGCACAAATGCTAAGAGAACACATATGTAATTTTATAGCAACATGTGTGTGGACCCTGTCCCTGTCCTTTACCCATACATTCTCATGACAGACCCTTACAAACAGACTAACCTACATCCTTAAATCAGGAAAGCTGTACACATTCAAATTCAGTCTTGATTCCTCCTGTATGAACAGACTCCCAGCGCACATTTTCAAACACATCCTGAGGACTTGTCCACAAACACCTAATCCTTCACCTCTCCCAAACGCATGAGTGTAACACTAGAAATTAGAGATCCACAGAGCTTTAGGACCTTAGAGATAATCTTGCCTAGCGTCTTCAGTTTACAGACAACAGCACTGCAGCTCAGAATGGATAAATGGCTTGTCTAAAGCTGAAGTCTTTTAAATAGAAAATTCCTGTGGCTTTGATTAACCTCCCCCGTTCCCTAGTTTCCAGCATAGGGAGAGACATGGGTGATTCTGGCTCTTGAAATATTTCTCTTCACCAAGAAAGGTCTGAGTTCTATACTGCTGAGTCCAGGATAGGATTAAATCCCAGTAAGCCCAAAGGAGAACCAAATTTGGCCAGGAAGAGGCAGAGCAGAACTAAATCCTTCTCTGATTGACAGAGACACATCAGGGGTCATAAACAAAACTTTCCCCAAACCAAAAATGCTGCTTAGCTTCAAGACTTAAAAAATGTCCAAACTGAAAGGGACCTTCCTTGCTACTTTGTCCAACTCTCATATTTTATAGGTCCTAAAACACTCCGAAACCTAGAGGACTAGAAGTAGAACTACAATACTGGGACTAGATCTCAAATTTCCTAAAACCATCCAGTGTTCTTTGCGCTGCTTGACATGGATCAAGCCTGCGGGACTTTTCCTGGCACCACATGGGTGGCCCAGAATCCAGGCAACAAGCTCCCCTTGCAGTCGCAATGAGATGAGGACAAGAGTCACACAAGTGACCAGTGCAGTCAGAAAGTTCCTCCAGGAGTGAGCCACGATCTGGGATGGGAATGCAGGGCCCCGTGCCAGGAAGGCCCCAGAGCCCGTGGCTTTGCCCCTCACCTCTGGCCTGGCTTCCACAGGTCCTGCATGACCACATTGCCTACCGCTATGAGGTTCTGGAGATGATCGGGAAGGGGTCGTTTGGACAGGTGGCCAAGTGCTTGGATCACAAAAACAATGAGCTGGTGGCCCTGAAAATCATCAAGAACAAGAAGAGGTGTGGCTTGGGGGATGGCATAGGCCACAGAGGAGGGACTGCATGACTCTGGCCCCTGAAGAATGACAGCCCTTCCTGACTCTGCCTCTCCTTCCCATCTTCCCTTTGGTTTTCCCTTTTCTCTCTCTACCTGTCTGATTCCATGAGGGGGGAAAGAGGAGGTGAGAATGTGGCGTTTCTAGCGCATCCTCCCACTAGACAGTCTTGCTGATATCATGGGGTGGGGCTGATTGCTGCAGTGTGACCTGATACTGATGTTTCTGTCTCCATTTCCCACCCTCCCTGCCACTCCCAATCACCTCAGATTTCACCAGCAGGCCCTGGTGGAGCTGAAGATCCTGGAAGCTCTCAGAAGGAAGGACAAAGACAACATCTACAACGTGGTGCACATGAAGGACTTTTTCTACTTTCGCAATCACTTCTGCATCACCTTTGAACTCCTGGGGTCAGCTCCTTTTCTTCCTAACCCATTTTCTCTGGAAAAGTTACCTAAGTGATAGAAGGGAAACTTGGAGGTCAGAACACTAGATTTTTCTGGATGTGAATATTTAATAACTGGAATGGACATGACAGTCCATTCTGCATAAGTCCTCGCTTATCCAGAAGGCCCAGGAGCAAGGAGGCTGGGACGAATGTGGGCCATCTTAATATGCCTGTCACCTGCCAGCACGCCTGTGACATACTTCCCTGGTGCTGGGTACTGAGCTAGGTGATATAAGCAAAACAAGTTCTCTTTCCTCAAAAGCTAAACTGAAATAGTCAAAAGGACTTTTCCTTGTTTGCTATCATATTCTGCACCCATTGGCTGTCTGACCTGATTGTACAGAGGCTGAAACCCACAGGAATAGGCAGCTGGCTGCTCAGGGTGGGAAAAGGCTTTCGATTTTGAGTAAATAAGGACAAGAGCAGATATTTTTGGTAAGAGAGCAGAGCCTGACTTAAATAGATTAGCATGGCCTGGCTGAATATTGGAGCTGACAAGGCATGCTAATTGCAAGGGCATGCTAATTTGATTATTTTTCTCTCTGGGAAGACCATCTGATGCAATTTATATAAAACCAGAAACCCAGAATGCATTTAGCAAAGGAGAATAATCAGGGGTGAGCTCTCAAAGTGTTACTGGATTCAGCAAGCTGGTAGCTCAGTGCTCCCATGATACCATTGCTGATGCTAAAATTCTAGGATCCAGCTGCATTTAAATTAGCAGGTAAGGTGACACTCTCCTTATCATGTCTGGCTATTACAAAGTATGGTCGAGTCTCTGATATACAGAGGTAAATTATCTTCTCTGTGGACAAAAGGACAGCCCAGTCCGCCTTTCTTGGCCATGAATCACAGTGCACAGTTAGGATGTCATTATGCTTAAAGAGCTCTGGGAGGTCAGAGGGCCAGGGGTGGGCAGGGAGAATCCAAAGCCCAGAGAGATGAGGGAGTTGCCCAGGTGACTACTTAGTATGGGGCCAGAGCCAAGTCTCACATCTTCATTGCAGCCCTCAAAAATGAAAGGCAACCAGGTATGGTGGCTCACGCTTATAATCCCAGCACTTTGGGAGGCCGAGGCAGGTGGATCACTTGAGGTCAGGAGTTCGAGGCTAGCCTGGCCAACATGATGAAACCCCATCTCTACTAAAGATACAAAAATTATCTGGGCATGGTGGTGCATGCCTGTAATCCCAGCTATTTGGGAGGCTGAGGCAGGAGAATCTCTTGAACCTGGGAGGCGGAGGTTGCAATGAGCTGAGATCATGCCATTGTACTCCAGCCTGGGCAATAGAGCAAGACTCTGTCTCAAAAAAGAAAGAAAAAAAAAAGAATGAATGGCTTCTGGCTGAGCACAGTGACACGTTTCTAATCTCAGGACTTTGAAAGGCCAAGTTGGGAGGTCACTTGAGGCCAAAAGTTTGAGACCAGCCTGAACAACATAGCAAGACCCCATCTCTTAAAAAAAAAATTAAGAATGAGTGCTTGCTAAATACTACCCAAGCTAGATGATCTTAGAAATGGAAGGTGAGGAGGAAGCAGCGGAAGGCTGGTGCCGTTCTTGGGTCGTGTTGTTTCCCTTCTCTCCCCATCTCGCAGCTTGCACAGAGGTTGCAACCAGCAGTGCACAAGTAAATGTTTCTTTTTCAAATGTATTGTATTAGTTTCTAACATTCCTAAGTTCTAACATTCTGTAGACTTCAAATAATATAGTAGGCCTCTGCCACCCTAGAGAGTTTAAGATTCTCTGGCAAGAGCGAGCTTTCATTTCTCAAGGGAACAGGTAGATGGGACCAAACAGCCACATTTTGAGTAGAGCAGGGGCTCCCTTTGGCTTCAGCCCCCACCTGCCCACTCTCTTGTTCCTTCCTTCTCAGGAACCTGATGTCCTTAGACAGTCCTCATTAGGCCTGGGCAGGAGTGGCTGCTGGTTTGAGTGACTGGTGGGCTTCCCGGGTCCCTCCCAAGGGCCTGAGGAACTATGACTGTTTCAGAAGTTTGGGCCAACCTCTTAACCCGCCTGCATAACGAAGTGCTTCAGTGGCCTTGTCACATAAGAAATGAGAGAACATATAAGAATCTGGCACAGCTGAACTTCACCCTGAGCCCAGTGATTCAGTGGGAAAGCTGAATCTGTAAGACAAAAGCCCTGCCCCTGGTCTGAGGCTTGCCTCCTACTGAAGGGAAACCAGGTGATACAAGATTGTTTGCAGGTTCAAACTCAGCCTTCTACTGTTTTTCCCCCACATGCATCACTTTCCCCCTCTCTTTTCCAGAATCAACTTGTACGAGCTGATGAAGAATAACAGCTTTCAAGGCTTCAGTCTGTCAATAGTTCGGCGCTTCACTGTCTCTGTTTTGAAGTGCTTGCAAATGCTTTCCGTAGAGAAAATCATTCACTGCGATCTCAAGCCCGTAAGTACCACCTCCGTCCTGTCATGGAAACGCTCTGAAAACACCCATTCTATTCCCTAGGCTGTGTAAGAATCACAAACTCCAATGAAATCATTCCTTTGACATTTTTTTGGTGCTCTACTGTCACAGCAGTATGTCAAGGGAGGCGTTTAATGGGAATGTCAAACAAATTCAGTCAATGGCATTTCTAAGGCCTTATGCAAGCAAGGCCTAGAACCGGTGCCAAAGGAGATAAAAACAAAGCCACAATCTTCAGGAGCTGCACAATCAACATGGGGAAAGTGACACCATATATGCAAAAGAAACTCTGCAAAGCAGTGAATATGAGGTCCAAATGAGAAATACCGACCGCAAATCAAATGGAAACTCAGAGGGGGAGGATGATGGGATTTTGGAGAGGATGTGGGAGGAGGCCCGTGGAGGTGGTCATATTTGAACTGGACCCTGAAGGATGGGGAGCATTTAGGTCAGCAGAGGGCCTAGGGCAGGGTTACTGTAGCTTGACGTATGTCTTTTCTTCTCTCTAGGAAAATATAGTGCTATACCAAAAGGGCCAAATCTCTGTCAAAGTCATTGACTTTGGATCAAGCTGTTATGAAAACCAGAAAGGTAGGCCCATGCCAGTCCTGTCATCTGAGTTCTCCTATTGCAGTTTCCCTCCCTTCACATACAAGGTCACCTGGCTTCTAGCCTGGGCTCAGCCACCACCCCCTACAGCATGATTTCGAACAAGGTACTTCACTTCTCTGAGCCCAAGTTTCCTCATCTATAAAATGAGAAAGTTGGCTGGGCACGGTGGCTCACGCCTATAATCCCAGCACTTTGGGAGGCCGAGGCGGGTGGATCACGAGGTCAAGAGATCGAGACCATCCTGGTCAACATGGTGAAACCCCGTCTCTACTAAAAATACAAAAATTAGCTGGGTGTGGTGGCGCGCGCCTGTAATCCCAGCCACTCAGGAGGTTGAGGCAGGAGAATTGCTTGAACCCAGAAGGCGGAGGTTGCGGTGAGCCGAGATAGCGCCATTGCACTCCAGCCTGGGTAACAAGAGCGAAACTCTGTCTCAAAAAATAAAATAAAATAAAATGAGAAAGTTGTATCCAAATACTATAAGGGTGCTTTCAAGCTCTCATATTCTGTAGATATGGAATTATCCAAGAACAGTGAGTCCCAAAACTAATTAAATGCATATCCAAATTGCCTTGGGGCTCTGAAAAATTATCGTTTCCAGGGCCTCACCCCACATGTTCCTAATCCAAATTTCTGGGAAGTAGCTAGGAGTCTGCACTTCAGAAACCATAGTCATTCTGAAGTTTGGAATTTGCTGCCCCAGCTCCTCTAGGTTTTACGCTTTTTCTAGCTAGGATCCAAAAAGTAGCTCTGGTGTACATTTTCACAGCGTTTACGGAACTTGATTTAATAGTGTGTTCCTTTGTCTTCCATCAGGTTTGCTATAGAGAACATGTATCATTAGAGAGACATTTTCTGTTCTGTGTCAGTCACTGTCCTGGGTACCAGGAACAAAAAATGAACATTCTCTATCGTCAGGTTGCTTACCAACGAATGCAAGAGACAGAAAGATAAAAATAATATGATGAGTACAATGATTAGAGATAAACAGAGGCTGTGTTCACGACACGTAACCGAGGGACTTTGGGAGCAGCCTTTGAGGTGGCGGAGGCTGTCAGAGGAAGCTTCCCGAGGCTGAAGAAAGGACTACTAGATGGATGTTTCCAAATATTTGGCAGATCAATTTTTTTTCAGGGAAACACATTTCCAAGTTTATTAATAAATAATATAATAAAAGACACAGATGAAGAGATACACAAGGCAAAGTATTTGGGAAGGGATGTGAAGCTACCATGCCTCCTTGGGGGCATGCCACGTTTTCAATACCACATTTCCCATACCCTGGAAGTTCTCTGTACCCTGCAGCTCGGGGATTTTCATGAAGGCTTCATCACATGGTCACTGAGATCATTAACTCAATCTCTAGCCCTTTCCCCTTCCTAGAAGAAAGGAGTTAGAACTGTAAGTTCCAAGCTTCTAATCATGGCTTAGTCTTTCTGGCAGCCAGCCCCTGTCCAGGAGCTCACCAAGAGTCATCTCACTAGAACAAAGAGAGTCCTATCACCTAAGAAGTTCCCAGGGATTAGGAGTTCCGTGTCAGAAGCCAGAATAAAAGGTCAATTATTAGAGCAAGAGATACATGTGGAACCCCTATCCCTCAAGAAATTAAAAAGGTTTTAGGAGCTCTGTGCCAAATACTAGGGGTAGAGACCTATATCTATTTCTGACTATTTCTTGCACATGCTCATATACAAGCATAGATATTATTAATTTGAAGAAAAAATAAGACATTAAATTACACCCAGTGTTAGCCATTCACTCTCACACATTGTTGGAGTAACAGATAGAGCATTCACTTTCACACACTGTTGGAGGAACTACAGATTCATATGATCTTTTGGGAGGTTACTTTTGCATCTTTCACCAAACATTTCACTTCGAACCTTCAAAAATTATAAATTCCCTTCTAAAGAACCTCTCCTGCAGATGACTGATGTTCCCGTAGAACGGACATCTTCACTACGGCACTGTTAACTAGCGCAACATCGGAACCAACCTAAACATCTACAAATGAAAAATGGTTTAATAAATTAACCCTGTAATATCACACAGCTATTTGAAAAGAGAGATTTAAATGTAATGGCTTAGAAAGAGGTCCATGATGAAGTAAGTGAAAAAAAACTGAATAAAACTTTTGATATGTAAATATATAAGTATAAATAAGGTATAAAAGGATTTGCACCACACTGTTAAAAGTGGTTATCACTAGAGATGAACCTGGAAGAGCCTGGGATTGAATTTTTTACTTTACATCTATATCTTTTTAAAATAAGGATTTGGATGATTTTAAATTTTTTCTTTGGATTTTGTTTCCATTTTTAACATTTTTTAAAATTAAATAATTTGTGGTCTTTAATTTGCTACAGATCTATGTGAGATTTCTATACGTCTAGTCTTAAGTGAGACCAGTCTGTAGGGTTTTGTGTGTGTGTATCTTTATCCTGTTTGAATACCAAAGTTACATCTTGAAAAAATGAATTGATCGTTTCCTATTTTCTGTTCCATCAAAGTCTGAACAAAATAGGAATCATTTTATTTTCACAAGGCCTCTTAGAACCTAATTGTAAAGCCATCTTCGTGTTGCATCTTTGGCAAGGGTAGTTCTTGAACCACTTTTCTACTTCTTCCACAGGCTGTCAGTGTGATACCCAGATTCCCTTCCATAAATAAGTTCAGCTTTCATATCTGTATGAACTTATTTTTCAGAGAATTTTTACTCTGCTGTTCATGTCTTCAATTTGCTCTGCTCACTGAATTCTCCTCATTTCTAAGACCTGCTGTCTTTTCTTTTGCAACCATGCTTTAAATACTGTGTCATTCTCTCTTTTTTCTTTCTCTTCTTCTATTTTCCACTGCTCTTCCTCTCTTTCCAGCTCTTCTCTCTTTTGTTCTAGTTGTTTTTGTAGTTCTTTCTGTCGAGGGGAAAGACAGTATATTGAGGTCACTGGTGAGATATGCGCAGACTGTGTTCTGATTAGATTTCCCCTTTCCTTTACTTCGACCTGAGTTGGCAGCAGAGCTTGGACAAGTCTTGCAGATGAGTGGTGGCTGAGGAATATAAGTCAGTGGCTCTCCTGTTGATGAGGGTGTGGCAGCGTGAATCTTTGCTGCAGAATCTTCTTGACGCCACTGACATAGGAATTGGAAGATCTGGTAACAACCGCTGAGGGTCATTTTCTGTACTGTTTGCATTATTAATGGAGGCAAAAACTCCTGACTCTCAATGTCTTGTAAATTCAGAAGTTCAAATTTTCCATCTCTCTCTCAGTGTTGTCCCATCCTTGCTTATTTCACAGCTTCCGTTAGTAAGTGACAGGAGCACATTTTCTTGTCCAAAATCGTTGGAAGTACGTAACTGTGACAGTTTCCCAAGCATATGCTTTTCGTTTTCAGAATAATTTTTATAAGTATTAATTAGTGTCTTCTAGTGGAGGAACTTTCAGATCAACTGACTTGTCCTTGAACTTAAGTTTTCACTTGCTTTTATCATTCAAGCGTTCTTGATTCTGTAGAAGCTTGTTAGCTTGTACAATTTTCTTAATAATATATCTCCTTACTTCCTCATCCTCTTCCTTCTCCAAGTCTTTCTGGCTTTCTAGTTTGGATTCCTGGAAAGAGTTTTCACTATTTGAATGTGATATGGGATACTTGGTACAGAAATGAAGACATTTCTTCTTGGCGAGACCTCATCCTGCAATGATTTGTCAGGATCAGAAAGCTGTTTGGTGTGTTCTGTTACTGTTTCATTCTCTTTTAAGTCTTGATTAATATTTTCCTCCTTCAAACAAGTCATCTCTCTTAGGCTGGCAGCACTTTTATCGTTTTCACTAATTATCCACTCCAGGTTCTTTTCAAAGTCATCTTCATATTCTTCAATTTCTTTTGAATCAGTATCTTTATTTTCATTCATTTTCCTCTCTTACACCGTTAATATCTCTGCATCACCCTTCCCTTCTCTCCCTCCACATCCCTCCTGCCTGTGTAAAATGCGCCGGCTGGGGCCACAGAGATGGCCAGGGGAGTTCTCCGCTCCTCCTCTTTCTAAGTCATTCACATTGAGGCAAGGGAGACCCTGGCACCTGCCTCCGTGGCAGCCAGGACCACACTGCCATGGCAACAGCATGCCTCTGCGTCCTCTATCTGGGCCTTTCTCTGGCAGATCAATTTTTGAGGACATATGTCATTCATACCTTTTATGTATGAATCCTATAAGAAATTCCAGCTAAAAAATAATGCTTTCCACAAAGAACTTATATGTTTGCCCTTCTCAGATGTTGAAGGCCGTAACTTATCAGTTGTCATTTATCTTGGCTGCCACGATGCTCAGAACTGAGTTTGTAATTATTTCATCCTTGGTTCCTAACAGTCATTTCCCCCTTTGCATATTTTCTGACTTCCTTTTTAACTGTGAGGCAGTATCTAGTATTGACACTAGAATTGGACTGCCTACTCCTGAGTCCCAGCTCTGTCACTAATAGCTCAGTAACCTTGACATTTTCACCTCTGTATGCCTCAGTTCTCTCACATTTAAATTGGAGGCAATAATACTACTTGCTTCATAGAATTTATGTAAAAGTTGAAAGGGCCTATCTATAAAAGCACTTGGAATCGTGCCTGGCACATACTAAACATTATGTAAATACCATTAAATCCATGTTCTAAAATACTCTGTGCATATGTGCTTTGCAAAGTACCACAGATCCATTTGGGAAGCAGGCAAAATATAAAAATTATTTTTATTAAATCTTTTTTGTTTTAAATCACAGAATTATTCTCTTCTGACAATAGCCAATGTAAACAACAGAGAAGCGATTACAGAATCCCTGCACCTCCCCAGGTAACCAGCAATCCCAGTTATGTGGAAATAACTACCGTGTTCCATTTCTTCAGTCCATTCATCCTCATCTGTTGCGATTTTCTTTCCATACAATAAGTGCACGTACTGTATTGAATACACACTTCCCATGCTTCCTGTCCAACTTGATATGCTTCTTCCATTGCCAAGCCACAAGACTCAGAAGCTGTCTACCCCAAATTAAGCTGACAGTTTTGAAAACTTAGTCTTATATTTGTCTTAAGTTTTGTTTGTTTGTTATAAACTTGGCTAACTTAAATTCACTTTCCTACAACAAAGCCCACGCTGGAGCTCGTTACCTACAAAGCAAGGACAGTAACACCTCCTTTGTAATCAGGTGACTGGGCGGGTTTGATGCTGTTTGTGTAATGAGACTTCCAGGTGCTGGCCGGCTGGCCTTCCCTTTCCCTGCCAGCGGGGGCGCAGTTTAACCGAGAAGGTGCCCTGGAGGAGCGCGTTCTGAAGAGAGTTTTCCCACGAGGTTTCTCTCGCTTTGCCCCCGCAGAATACACGTATATCCAAAGCCGGTTCTACCGATCCCCAGAGGTGATCCTGGGCCACCCCTACGACATGGCCATTGACATGTGGAGCCTGGGCTGCATCATGGCAGAGTTGTACACGGGCTACCCCCTGTTCCCTGGGGAGAATGAGGTGGAGCAGCTGGCCTGCATCATGGAGGTACGGGGAGGGCTGGCTGGAGGGCGGCTCCCACGGAGGCTGTGGGCTTGGATCTCAAACACTGGGCTACGTCAGACTGCCCAGGACCACGGCCTACCTACTCTTTTTTTCTTTGGTTGGATGTTCCCTAAAAGTAGTTTTGAAATTGTGTACCCCCTTGTACATTGTCAAGCTGACATCTAACATTTTTATCTTAAATTTAAATAGTTGCAGAGGATGTCGTTTCCATCATATTGTAAATAGTGACATTTTAAAATAAAAGTGTTACACCACCCTTTCAGAAATATCCAAAAGAATACAAAACCAGAGTGACATGGCGCCCATTAAAATCTATCTGAAAGTATGTGAACAAGTTCTTAAGAGTCGTACATTTATTTTACTTTGTTCTTTTTTGCTTTTTGTTTTTACTCTTTTCTCTACTTCCTCTATGGAATTTTATTCTAATTTAATATATGCTTATGTTTAGAAACTTTCTTTTTGAGATAGAGTCTCGATCTGTCGCCCAGGTTGGAGTGCAGTGGCATCATCTCACTCCCTGCAACCTCTGCCCCCTGGTTTCAAGTGATTCTCCTGCCTCAGCCTCCTGAGTAGCTGGGATTACGGGCATGCACCACCATGCCCAGCTAATTTTTGTGTTTTTAGTAGAGATGGGGTTTCACCATGTTGGCCAGGATGGTCTCAATCTCTTGACCTTGTGATCCATCTGCCTCGGCCTCCCAAAGTGCTGGGATTACAGGTGTGAGCCACTGCACCTGGCCTAGAAACTTTTATCAATCTTTATAGCTTTAAAAATTTCCTGATTCCATAAGCTTCATGTGTAAAAATTTTTTTTCTGGTAAGTTACCATTAAAATACATCTGGTGTGCAAATTTTGATAATTATAAAAAATAAAATGTGAAATTTTATTGAGCATACAGCTCTTAGAAAAATGAAGAGAGCTGGGTTTTCTTTTTCCAATTAATGCTTATACCCAGAGGTGAATGATGCTTCTTACTAGAATGCCCGGGCGCAGGATCAATGTGATTCTGATTGCTTGGTGGTGCAGATGTGAACCCAGAGAGGAAGCCTGTTCTAGTTAGGGCCGTCTAATTTGGTGACTCCTTTTGAGTTCTATGTAAAAATCAAATGGTGATCTGTCATCTAAAGTTATGTTTACCATCCTGTCAGCTGACAACCTGATTAAAATGTTAAAAACAAAGAATTGGAAATTATTGGACTTCAAAATATGTGTATTGTTCAGGCATGAGTCATTCATAACGGGAAATGAGTTTTCTGGGAAAACTATCTCCCAATAGCAAGGCTTTACCAAAACTCATGATATGATTATGAATTATACCTATTATGCTTTCACTTGAAAGCCACCTTGTTATGGAGCTAAATTAGACAAAATAGAAAAGTAACCTTAAAAGTTTAAAATTTTACATTTTAGGATTTTCCCAGTGAACAAAGATCTTTTGGGTGCAAACACCAAGGTGTGTGCCTGTCTATCTGTCTATCTATCTTTGCCAAATTTCTATTTTCCAGATTGTCTCAAAGTTACAGAAACACATATAGCCTTGAGAATGACTAAACATAGAGAATTTCATGTCATGATTGAAACGAATAATAGAATATTAAAATAATGTAGGTAAAGCAGCTGTGGTGGAATGAACACTGGCCTGTGGGTCAGTAAACCCGGGGTCTCGCCCTGGCTCCGTCTTTTTCACCAGTCACTTCCCGGCTCTGGACTATAAAATGAGGGGAGCGGGTAGATGGCTTCTAAGGTCGGTAATGAATGAAGCATCCCCAGACCACTGCTGCTTCCAATGCCAAAGAGCTCGGGGCTATGTTTCAACTTTCCTACAACCCCAGAACTGACTCAGCTTCCGCTTGACCTCAGGGTCAAAGGGGCTGAGGAACAGAAGAGCAGGATCATGCATGGATTATGGCTGGGAACTGAGCAGCAAGGGAGGTGACCCACACTGTAATTTCCTTATCTCTGTGCGCCCCTCTAAGTTGCAGTAGGAGAAGAGGAACAAGTAGGTGCTACACTTTTCCTTTCAAGAAGGTGTTTGTCTTGTAATTGTCTGATGCTCACCTGGTGATTTTCATTTTCTTTTCTTCTCCTCCCTTTCCAGTGCTCCATGCTGGGATATGTCACTCTTTAATGCAGACATGGCAGCATGTACACCAGTTTATTTGCTCTGGCAAGGACATCCGGCTGCTATCAAGGTGGTGGCCCACCTCTAGTTGGTGCTGATGTCTGTTTAGAATAACATGGCTGGTGTTGCTTCTTAGCATATGAAACCAGCTCCAGATTAGGAGTTAAAAGGCCCAGGCTCTGGGTTTGCTCTGCTACTGACCCGATGTTATTAATACATTAAATCCTTATATGTAGAAGGCAAAGCCTGGCCAAAGTATGCCCTGCCCCTCGGTCTTTGAATCTCTGATCCCACAAAGAGTGAATCAATTGAATTGTCCTTATTAAGGTGCTGGGCCTGCCGCCAGCCCGCTTCATTCAGACGGCCTCCAGGAGACAGACGTTCTTCGGTGAGTTCTCAGGTCTAACTCTCTTTTCCTTATTGTGTCTAATGAAGTGTTGCAGGCCTCGAAGACACCTGCCATACCTTGAAGCTCATTTCGTTCTTTCCCCTGGCCATAGCAAAGGGGGGGCTGTGATTAAGAGCTTCTTTCACAGAAGTAAAAGATAATGAACAGTGGAACCAGATAGCATGATGGAGATGGGATGGGGCAGCCGCAATGGGAATGGGGCCTTTACAGTAAAAATGTTCAGAAGAAAGAGGATGGCCAGATCCCTGTTGAGAACAGCTATCAGCAAGTATTACAGCCTCAAAATACTGTAACTGCATCCTCTCCTGGAAGTTCTCCCCACTCTCCTAAGCAACTTGTCCTCTCACACTGTGGACTGTGCAGGGAAATCAAAGAGCAGAAACTTCATTTCAAGAACAGTGGAAAATTCCATTGCTGCATTACTGTCTCCCCTGCTAAAAGTCTTCTTATCCTCTAGATCCTCACTGTGCCAAGTTCATTGCAACGGTTAAGCAAGGACTATCAGAGTAGTTTTGCTTTGATGAGTTGTGGCTGGGAGTTATATGTATGTCATTTGTCTGATTGTAGGGAGTAAACTTTGTCCACAGCCCAGGCTGGCCCTCTCCTCCTGATTCCCAGAATCTGGATTTTTGTGGTCCACTGCCTTCCTATTTAAGCGGTGATGTACAAGGTGGGAGGATGGGTCAGCAAGGTACTAACTGAGGCAGCGCTTTCCAGGCACAGGCACCAAAAAGTTGCAGCAAGTCCCAAACCTAAAATCCCTTTAAAGAACCACTGGAAGCTAAGAGTCCCAGACAGAAACAGCCAAAAGTAGCCTGAAGGTCAGCAAAGTGGAGCAAAGCTAGATATGAGCAAAACGGAACTCCACAGACGCGACTCCATGCTACCTGGAGTGGCACTTCTAACCAGCCATTGTCAGGTCGGTTCATGGACTCCCTCTGACTATGCAATCCCAGACATTCCTGGTCCTCCCACCTCTGATTTTCAACTGTGAGCAGCCTCTGAATGTGTATGCAAATCACACAACTTCTGTTCACAACTTGCCCCATCAGTAGGAAGGTCCAAAACATCCTCATGGACAAAAGGGATTGAGTCACGCTGGTCAGGATGCACTGATTCAGCCATGTAGGGGTTGTAATTTGCCTATTTCTGTACCTTTTGGTAAAAAGCCACAGCCCTGAGCCCTGCCACAGCTGCAGGTTCCCTGGCCCTCTCCCAGGACTCCTTAGACTCCCTATGATCCAAAAAACTCAAAGTTGAAGGCCAAGCAAGTGGAGGTGCTCTGTGATCCTATTCCAGGGCCACGGCTGTCTTCATTCTGATTAGTTGGTCCCATGTCATTCATTCCAATTGTTAACTCTTTTAAACATCGCTTTGTAATCATGGCTGGAGCTTTGGAGACACTGCTTCTGAGCAGGGCAGTGTCCTGGTTGCCACAGAATGGTGCCCACGCATTAATCGAGCAATCTGATGGTGGGCAGAGGGGTTCTGTCTGGCTCCCTAACTTACACATGGAGCAAGGGAACTAGTCTGTGGATCCCAAATATACTTTTTCTACCCACAACTTAATAATTCAGGCTCTTGGACTGGACAGAGTCACTGTGGGAAGACACATCTTGAGCCTGTAACACTGAACTATGAGATAGCATCTAGATGGGGACTAGCAGGAAGGGAGCGTAGAGCACCTTCGTGGGAAGGCACTGAAGACACAGGCACGTCCACTTTGTAGAGCTGCTTATTCCTACATCAGCACGAGGCTTTAGGATGGTGGTGGGATTCTTGCAGCAACATCCATATCTTTGCTTCCTGCAAAAGAAGGAATGTTGCTGAGAAAAATGCATCCTCGTCAGTGTTTTCCAAACTTTATCCAAATGCAGGAATCATTTGGGGAGCTTGCTAAAAAAGCTAATTCCTGTGATTCTCTTCTATAAGGTATGCTGTGGGAAGACTGAGATGGGACCCAGGATTTAATATTTTTAATAACAGCTCCTTGTGACAAGAGGAGTCTGGGAAACACTGTTGTCCTCTTCACTTCTTGACTCCCCTTTCCCAGGTTTGGGCTCCCAACAGCTCCGCAGCCCCTGACACCTCTTGGTTAAAACCCCTAATTAGCAGCAAAATGGGGTTGTCTTAAGCCTGGTAAGATATTATACTTAGGTGGCCCAGGCCGTAAGAAGGGGATGGAGGGAATGATGGATGAGGGCTAGAGTGAGAAAAGCTTACACAGGAAAACGGTTACATGACCATGACTTTAGGGGCTTCGTTATTTATAAGACTGTGAGCTTGATTCTTCTTTGGTCATTCATAAAAAGGGCAACGTAGGATAAAGTGGGTGGGCTAAGGCCACGATTCAAAAGGAAATGGATATTTGTACAATTTCACAGGACCTTGCCCCTGAAGATTTACTTCACTATTGTGATTGTCATCATTAGTGTTATCTTATCTTGGCTAGTGCTAAACCATTTAAACTATTTGATTTGGAGAGGAGGTAGTAGAAGGAAGCTCAGAACATACTGAATAGTAGGAAAAAATAAATTTTTAAAGTTAGTTGTATTCCTTGGATAATCTACACGTGGTTATTTCAAACTGAGACTGTGGGTGTGCTTGTGTGTATGTTTATTGGGGGGTGGCATGAGGCGAGTGTGTAAGACCAAGAGCGAAACAGCCACGGAGGCCACTCTAAGCAGCAGCATGATGTGACCACTAAACATTTGCGCCTGGAACTAAATACAGAATGTTGTATTTCTGCAGATTCCAAAGGCTTGCCTAAAAGTATAACCAACAACAGGGGGAAGAAAAGATACCCAGACTCCAAGGACCTCATGTTGGTGCTGAAAACCTATGACACCAGCTTCCTGGACTTTCTCAGAAGGTGTTTGGTGTGAGTTCGTTGGAATATCTCTGCCTCTGGGTTTCCTCTTAAATGCTGTACTTTCACACACGTTTGCTGGTAAAAGTCTAAGGCTGGGAGACGTTATAAAAGTAACAAGAAACGCTAACAATAGACCTTTAAAGTCTACAAATTGCTTCCACATCTGTTGTCTCATGAGACGTCTCTCTCTCCCTACTGTGTGCTGTCAGGGCAGATGATCCGCTCTGTTTTGCAGGTATGGAGGTTGTGGTTCAAAGAGATTAAGTGACTTGCCCTTGATCACACAGTGTGTGGCAGAGTTTGGCATCTTCCTGGCCTCAAACTGCTTGGCAGTGAGACGGTAGGCCAGTCTTAAATATCCTGCTCTAGGCCAGGCGCGGTGGCTCAAGCCTGTAATCCCAGCACTTTGGGAGGCCGAGGCGGGTGGATCACGAGGTCAAGAGATCGAGACCAGCCTGGTCAACATGGTGAAACCCCGCCTCTACTAAAAATACAAAAATTAGCTGGGCATGGTGGTGCGTGCCTGTAATCCCCGCTACTCAGGAGGCTGAGGCAGGAGAATTGCCTGAACCCAGGAGGCGGAGGTTGCGGTGAGCCGAGATCGCGCCATTGCACTCCAGCCTGGGTAATATGAGTGAAACTCCGTCTCAAAAAAAAAAAAAAAAAAAAAATATCCTGCTCTGTGAGCTGAAGCCAACCTCCTGAGTGCTTGTTGTAATGATTTGCATATACATCCAGTTTAAACTGGTTTCAGGGCCTGTCCCTAACCCCCTAGGATTTAGAACCCAAATCCTCTTATAGTAGGGAATTAGGGGAAGGGTGAGCTGTAAACCATTTACTATGTAAAATTTTTTACAACCTATATGCATATTTTGAATCTTAGAGATTAGATCTGTACTTAAGTCATAGTACTGAGCACAGTACTTTTAAACACCTAGCTTAAAAGGTGTTTAGAAAATGTTAGCTATTGTTATTATTTCATAGCTATTAAAGGGGTAAATCTGTCTCCACTGAGTAGCAAGTGCATTATCCATGTGATACCTGGCAAGTCATCACTTTTTTCCTGGGCCTCAGTGTCCTTTCCTATAAAATGGGGTATTCCTAAGCTCCCTTCCAGTTCTATCAGTCCTATAATTTAGTAGTTTTAGAAGGCCATATCATTATATTCTCTTATTCTTCCAGTTGGATGGAGAGGTGTTAGCAAAATACTCTTCTGGCATCTGTGCACTCTGGAATTTTGGTACTAGCTCAGAGGGTGAACCATGAGGTAGCGTTGAAAGTATTCCCAACTTAGAGGGCCATGCTATTCACTTATCGGAATAATCAAGGTAGAGAAGGATTCCATACCCCATCTTACCTCTACCTTAACAAACAGAAACCAGTTGCTGAGACAGATGGGTTATCCAGAAACCCCAACCATCCAGAACACAGCTCAGCACCAAGGAAGACATTATTTTCATTTCTTTCTTTTTTTTTTTTTTGAGACGTAGTCTTGCTCCGTCGCCCAGTCTGGAGTAACGTGGTGTGATCTTGGCTCACTACAACCTCTGCCTCCCGGGTTCATGTGATTCTCTTGTCTCAGCCTCCGGAGTTGCTGGGACTACAGGCACGTGCCACGAAGCCTGGCTAATTTTTTTTGTATTTTTAGTAGAGATGGGGTTTCACCATGTTAGCCAGGGTGGTCTCAATCTCCTGACCTCGTGATGCGCCCACCTTGGCCTCCCAAAGTGCTGGGATTACAGGCGTGAACCACCGTGCCCAGCCACATTATTTTCTTCTTTAGTGCAAAGGACTAATTACTCATAACTTGCAAGAGGCAGTCAAGTTGATGGGGACTGTTACCTAATTGCAAATTAGCAAATCTTTGGAACGAGAGACTAAAAGTGTCAAGCCAAGTTCAACAGGCATAAATGTAAAGCCTTGTGTTTAGACTTTGTAGACTAACTCCAAAAGTCCAGGAAAGGAGAGATTTGTTTAACAGCAGTTCATGTGACACAAAAATGAGAACTTGAGCTGTTTAGGATCTTGATTAGTCTAGAATGTTAATACTGCCTCCCTGCAGTTATAGACGCTATTCCCACCATGGTGGACATTAGTTAGACAACTGCTAAAATATCCTTATCTCAGAAGGTGGCCAGATGGTGAAAACCATGTCATATAATCATTAGTTAGCAGCGATGTAAATATTTTCAGATAGCTGAAGTGCTGAAACATAAAAGAAGAATTAGTTATTTTGTATGATGGTAATCGGTTGAATCAGGACCTGGGTACAAGTTACTGGGAAGCAAACCAGTTTTGGTACAATAAAATTCAAGAACTTTCAAAGAATCAGAGTTTTTAAAAATTGGAATAGATGGTTCTGAGAGTTAGTGCACTGTCACTGAAAGTATTAGAGAATTACAGGGTGATTCCAAGATGGGAGTTTGGTCAATGTATTCTGCTACTGAATTAGAAGTTTGATTTGATTATATCCAAGTCCCCTGGCAAATCTGAATATTCTAGAATTCTATAACTCTTCTTGCAATATATTTGGAAGCCCCAATTCTGTAGTCTGTAAATTGAAATTAAACGTCTCTTTGTTTTTAATATGCTTAGCTTACCAAACCCTAAATCTCATTGATTAAGCTTTTGTAAAATAATATTTCTGATAAGGGAATTTCTAGATGTTCTGGAAGACTTGGAGTGTAATATATATTCCCTGGCTTGTTATACACATCTTCTAAAAAGATTATTTTCAATAGCTGTTTCCAGGTACTTTTAAGTTATATGCTATAATCTCTGTTCTGTGATGATATCTTTGAGATATCAACATAGTTTAAATAAAAATATTTATTGGGTTTTTAAAATGTTTTAATATACTAAAAGGAAGTAAAACAGTAACCCATGCTGGGCTTTGTTGGGGTGCAGATGGGAACCTTCTCTTCGCATGACCCCGGACCAGGCCCTCAAGCATGCTTGGATTCATCAGTCTAGGAACCTCAAGCCCCAGCCCAGGCCCCAGACCCTGAGGAAATCCGGTTTCGTTTTCTCCTCTGAGACAAGGAAGAACAAGGTTCAAGGCCATTATCACTCGAGCAAAAAAGGTACAGCATGTCAAATAGTCCTATTCCCGTAGACCAGGAAGCCTGCCATTTCTTACCTTTGGGATTTTCCTTTTTTGCTCCTTATTAGGATTTTCCATTGTTCTCCTATAATCAATTTCCTTTCTCCTCCTCCCCTTTTCCTTAACTGTGTCCACCCCTTTATGCCCTATAAGTACCTTTAGAATTTGTCCGTGCCAGATTATGGTATTTTGCAAATTTTTATATGCAATATAGCCTAGTGGTTAGGCACATGGTCACAAGAGTCAGGTTGCCTGGGATTGAATTCTGGCTCCACCGCTTATCAGGTATGGACTTAACCTCTCTGTAGTTCAGTAACTCCATTTATGAGAACGAGAATAATGCCTATTCTCCAGGGTCGCTGAAATGGTCAGATGAATTAGTACACAGAAAGTGCTTGGAATAATGCCTGGCACATTGAATGCGCTTTACAAATGAGCTGTTTTTATATCATCACAGTCATGGTTTCCACTAAGTGATTTACAGCCTAAAGGACAGTTCCCATATAATCCCCATTCGAATGCTTGTTCTTTCTGCCTTCTCTCTCCTTCAGCAGATGAGATCACCAGAGAGACTATAGACAAAACAAAAGATGGCCCCATGAGGCATATTCAGCATTCAGGTGATCAGCGGGACCCTCTCCAGCACACAGCTGACACTGTTCAGCTGCCTCCACTGGTAGAAGCTCTCCCGAAGTCAGAGGCAGCTGTTGGGGCAGAAGTGTCCATGACCTCCACAGGACAGAGCAAAAATTCCTCCCCAAAGAACACAAACATTTTACCCCCCATTGTATGACCTTTGCTGAGGGTGTGTCCTGCTCCTTTCCACCAGTGATTTGTATTGACAGCACTTACATTGGACAATACTTCAGACTGTTGCTTTTTAATACAGAAAAGTTTATTTAAAAAAAATTGATTAATATGGCCAATTGGCACGATTTCTCTTATGAGGGATGGGGGAGGATGTCCTCACACTTAAATTCGTTCCATATGTGTTTGTGTGTTGAGGGTGGGAATAGTTTTTAACTATCAGTGTTATAGCATCATTAATGGAACTCTAAACAGGCATTTTTTTGTTGTTCTTGCCCGTGACTGCCAACCTATGTCAGGATTTTTGTTTGAAAACCATAGAAGCTGAATTCAAAAGTAGCTTAAACAACAGAAGACATTTATTGACTTATATAATTGGGGAATCTGAAAGGGTAGATGTAGTTGCAGGCACAGCAGGATCCAGGAATTCAAATGAGGTTGTAGGGCTCAGAATCCCTCTTCGTCTATTAGCCTTGCTTCTCTCTATGGTTGACTGCATCCTGATGGCAGGCTCTACCCGGAAACTAACCACCAACATCCAGTCAAAAGATGCAGGCTTCCTTGCTGACAGGAAGTCTCCAAAATTATAGTGACACAGAAACTGTGCCTGGGAGACTGGGATGCAGTCTGGGCCCCAAGCCCACAGTGAAGGTGAAGGCACCGTGACTGATGCTTCCCTAGACTGCCGCAAGGGATGGAAGGTTTCCCAAAGGAGGGGAAGCTGAGTAAACACGCAGGACATACTGATTTATCCACCAGACCAGAAATCTAAGTAGGCCTTCTCACTGCCCTTTCTAATCCTTATCTACACAAATACATAACCTTTATGTGATTATAATACGGCAGATAGAATTTTACATGAAACAAGATGATAACATCAGAAACAATATGGAATATATAAAAATCGTTTTAGTTTTCTTTTTTACTTGCCATTTGGAATAACCTCCCCTCAATACACTTTTCATTTTACTTGTTGCATAATATTTTATGAACGTTGACACCAAGTCATTAAAGCAATGGATTTGGATGCAATATCCCAGTGAAGATCTTGAGTTAGAATAGCAGGGGGTTGAAAGAAAGTCCTAGGAAAGATAAATGTAAAAGGAGTGACAGAGTTGAGGAGGTCCCCCAAGAGATCCAGAGCTATAGGAAGAAAATTAGAAGCCAATGGAAAAGTTTCTAAAAGGAAAGAAGGGTCAAGAATATAAAATTCCACAGAAAATTCAGGATAAGAACAGAAAGTATTTCTTAAGTAGAGTGATATGGATATTAAGTCAGAGCAGTATTAGATCAGGTATCTTATCCCAGGTTCTATAGCCAGAAAGCCACAAAACCAGCAATAGAACTCAGACCCTTGGGAGCATTCTTGACACAAACTTCAACCATGGATGAAGTCAGAGGCGGACATTGTTCTGCAGCTCTGCAGAGAAAGGCAAACCAAATCTTCAACCTTGTAATTAGGATGATTTTGATTAAATATTAGAAAGTATCTTCTGATCTTCATGGTTATAAAAGGCTAAAATGAATTATTGATAAACTGTGGTTTATTTTAAAAGAATGAGGAAGCTGCAAATTGTGACACAGAGAGAGGGAACAGGCTGAGTGACCTCCAGCAGGGCCTCTCAGTCCAGCTCTGCTGTGTCTCTGGCATTCATCTAGTTATTTTTTCACTCCTGGGATTTCTTTACCTGATTGTCCCATTGGATCCCAAGAAAGCGAAACACGTGGCGCCATTTAGTTGTGATTTTTAAATTTTATGTCCTTGATCGCATGTACAGGAAAATCTGCAAAATCCAGTGACTAGCCTAAGATGACATGTCTTTGATGAGAGTGATATGAAGATAGTGTTAGGGCTCTGTAAGGATATAGAGGGGGAGCTGTGGAAGTGAGAAAGAAGGGTGGGGATAAGGGCCGGGCCCGCTGTCGGAAGAGGGGAAACCAGTGGGGTTGCTGATCACAGGTTCACCATCACCAGCCCAGCAGCTGCAGTGCCGTGACATTCCCCGCTGCCTCATTCAGCTGGCGCTGCTTCTCATAGCGCATCACTGACTGCAGAACCTCACCCACGCTGCATCCTTTGTCCACAGCAGCAGCCGAGAGCTGACGTAGCTGTGAAAGGAAAGAATACTTTCACAGTGGAGGGGCACAGCATCCCATGGCAGGCCAGATGGAGCCTGCCAAGTCTAGAGCAGAGAGGCCAGGCAGACCTTGGGAAACTGCAACACAGACTTTAAAGTCTGCTGGCCTATTTACCAGAATAAGGTTGGTGACAACATTTTTAGTTTAAAGAAGGGATGTTACACCCACCTGCCCATGCTCTGGCTCTCTAAGAATTCTAAGGTTCTAAGTTCACCCTAATATCATAAAAGTCTCCGTCATTGTCCTAAGACAGAAAATATCCAGTGCACAAATGTGGATGCTGCTTTCCATGCCCCATAGACCACAGAACCCTAAAACGTTAGAACAAAACGGCACCTCAGAGATCAATTCAGTTCTCATGAAATGTTTCCCAGAGAAGTAAAGAGACTTGTCAGAGATACACTGCCAGTAATTAGCAGAACCAAAGTTCACTGCAGGTATCAGATCCTATCTATAGCTCTTTTTCCAAGTATAACATGAGAAAAGTTACTTAAGGAACCATTCTAATATAAACGCAATATGCTGTCATTTATCTGGAATCCTAAGGGCAACAATCTGAAATAACCAGATTTTTATTGTGTTCATTTTGCTCTTGGCTTTTTACAACAAAGGGCAGGCAAATAGACAAAATATCGAGAGCTTCTTCAGAAAGAGAAATGTCCATGTGAGAAACTGAAATAGAAGAACCAAATGGGAAATTTTAGAACTAAAAATTACATACAAAATGTAAAATAAAAACTTAACAGGTGGGCAGAATGTAAATGGGAGGAAGGTCAGTAAACTTGAAGGTAGATCAATAGAAATTATCCATGCTTAACAACATAAGAGACTGATTAAACTTACTTCAAAAAAAATTTAAAAAATAAATAGAGCCCAAGGATTTGTGGGCAATATAAAAAGTTTTGACATTTGTATTAGAATACCAAAGGAGAAAAGTGATGATGCAAAAAATATTTGAAGCAATAATAGATGAAAGTATTCCTAATTTGCCAAAATGTTTTGAACCTATAGATTCAAGAATCTCAGGGTACTTAAAATAAAACAAACCCAAACCCAAAGAAATTAACTTCAAGACCTACCATAACTAAATGGCTGAAATTTAAAGAAAATTGAAAAAAATCTCAAAAGCATCCAGAGAAAACCATTTATAGGGGAACTACAAGTCAAGTGATAGCCAATTTCTCATCAGAAACCATAGAGGGCAGAAGAAAGCAGCACGTCTTTTAAATGCTAACAGAAAAAAACCCTGCCACATTAGAATTCTGTATCCAGCAGAAATTATAACTCAAAAATGAAAATCAAATAAAGACACTGTCAGAATAAAGAAAACTAAGAGAAGGCACTGCCAGAAAATGTGTTCTAAAAGAATTGTGATAGGAAGTTCTTCAGAGAGAAGGGCAATGATACCAGAAGGAAACTGGGAACATTAAGAATGAATGAAGAACAATGAAAACAGTAAAACTCTCAGCATAAATAGTAGGCTACTCTCTTAAGTTCTTTAAAATATGTTTTAAGGGGGACACAGTGGCTCACGTCTGATCCAGCACTTTGGGAGGCTGAGGCAGGAGTATCACCTGAGGTCAGCAGTTCGAGACCAGCCTGGCCAACATGGCAAAACGCTGTCTCTACTAAAAATACAAAAATTAGCTGGGCATCATGGCACATGCCTGTAATCTCAGCTACTTGGGAGGCTGAAGGAGGAGAATCACTTGAACCTGGGAGATGGAAGTTGCAATGAGCTGAGATCATGCCACTGCACTATAGCCTGGGCAACAGAGTGAGACTCTGTCTCAAAAAAAAAAAAAAAAAAAAGTTTTAAGGTTGAAAGGAAAAGTAACATTGAAGGTTTTTTCAAAGTATACAGATTACATAAAGTAACTCAACTACAAAGGGAGAAGAGCAAAGGAACCTATATGGTAGTAATATTTCTACATTCCAGCTTAAGTGGTAAACTATTGATGCTACATGGACTCTGAGAGGTTAGTATATATATATTGTAATCCCTAGATTAACCACTAAAAAAAACTACAGAAGAAGATATAGTCAGAAATGCAATAGATAAGTTAGAATGGAATACTAAAACATGTTCAAATAGTCCAAGAGAAGGCAGCAAAGGGGGAACAGGAAGAAAAAACAGAGAGAAGAAACAAATAATAAAATGGTAAGTTTAAATCCAAACATATCCATAAACTGGGCTAAATGTAAATGATCTAAACATATCAAATGTCAGAATGGACAAAAAATGTAACCCAAGTGTATGCTGCCTACAAAAAAAACCTCAATTCAAATATAATAAGTTAAAATTATCGAAAAAGATGTACCATGAAAACACCAATCAAAAGAAGACTTGAATCTAACTAACATTTATGGTCAATAGGATTTTTTAAATAAAGGAGATGGATAATTCAGAGGGGCCAGATACCCACTGGTCTTTTCAACAAATGGTGGTGAGATAACCTTCATGTCTACATGCAAAATATTGAATTTGAACTCCTACCTCACAAAAATTAACTCAAAGAAGATCATAGACCTAAATATAAGAGCTAAAATTATCAAACATGTAGACAAAAACAAGGGGAAATCTTCCTGGTCTTGCATAGGTTAAGGTTTCTAAGGCCGGGCGCGGTGGCTCACGCCTGTAATCCCAGCACTTTGGGAGGCCAAGGCGGGTGGATCACGAGGTCAAGAGATCGAGACCATCCTGGTCAACACGGTGAAACCCCGTCTCTACTAAAACTACAAAAAATTAGCTGGGCATGGTGGCGCGTGCCTGTAATCCCAGCTACTCAGGAGGCTGAAGCAGGAGAATTGCCTAAACCCAGGAGGTGGAGGTTGCGGTGAGCCAAGATCACGCCATTGCACTCCAGCCTGGATAACAAGAGCGAAACTCCGTCTCAAAAAACAAAAAAAAAAAACGGTTTCTAACTCTCAGCACATCTGGCCTTCTGGGTCTGTCGTGGGG